CCGCTGCTCAAAACTAATTAATTAGGCCTTGGCGCAGTGTACACAGAGCGACAATTTGTAATATGTACTTTATGGCCAATTGCATGGCTTAAATGACTTAAAGGCCGAGTGATTTAAGGCCAATATGCAATGCATATCTGCATAGAAGAAATATTTATATAATACACATTCATATATGCATGTGACAATAAACAAAAAATTAAGCACGCAAATTGGATATCGATTCGATTGCTATTAATTATATGAAAATTGCGCTAGTTTTGATTTCGGCATATTTATGCTGCGGCAATTTTTTTCTTTGTTTTCTTTTTTTTTTTTTTGCCTGCCGAGCTGAGCTGAGGTCAGGACAGAAAAAAAGAGAAGCAAAATCTATTAGCATAAATGAATTGTAAACAACATGAGAGAATTGTGTATTATTAATGGGCGTGCACTTGGCGGGGGCTCAACGACAATTTGCATACACACATGGTTGAATGTGTTTACCTATTGCAGCCACTGTGCGGCCACGCCCATGTCCTGGCCGCATAAACAGCACCCGAATTTGTTGTTGTCAGTTTTTCCAGTTGGCCCCAATGATATATTGGGCCGAAAGCAATCGCTACAACGGCAATTGCATGCAAATAAACATTACACAGGCCAACACAGTTGCGGCTCATTGAGGACGCGTTGCCCCACTGTCCCACCGGAGATTCACGAGCTCTGACAGGAGCAAAACGGGAACACTGTCCTTCAAACTAAGACTTTGCTGACGAGTGTGCTGTCTGTCAGTGACATCTCAAAGGCCCTGCAGCAATGTGTTAATGGCAAAATTCGAACAAACACCAGCGAGAAAATCAAATTTAATGGCTACCAAAAGCAAAAAATACACAATTAAAAGGCGTTAGCCGTGGCTAACGAGTTTTTCCCCGTTGCCACTTTGGCCGATTGTGTTAATGTCGAAAATTCGCATTTTTTTTAAATTCACTTAAATTGCCATCACAATCTTTAAAAACGAAAAGAAATGAATAATTCACGTGGAAAAAAAAGCAAACTGAATGAAACTTTTCATTTTTTGGTGGCCATACGCAAGCAGCTTAAATTGCCAATACGAGCAACCGCCTCCTCCTGCTCCTGCTCCTGCTCCACCCATAGCCTCCCACCTGGTAGTGTTGCCCTTAAATGGAGCTGTTGCATACACAAATGTTTTTATTGCCCCAGCTCTTTGACCAATCGACCTTATCTGCCACATGCTGCGTGCTGCGTGCGTTTGTTGTCTTTTTTCGACCTCCTTTTGCATTGAGGGACCATATTGGATGCGTGGCTGACACGCCCTGACGCTCACGCCTGCAGCGCCCCCATCGGTTGCCCGCACAATTAGCAGTTAACATAATTACAGTGTTTGCCGCCAGGTTAATGATGTCCACTTGCTAGCGATAAGACGTTCCATTCCCCATGCCCATTCCCCTCTCTTCCATTTGCCCACATTCTCCTACACTTATTTATGGGCTTATGAATGGCATCGTCATTACTGTAAGCCGACAGAAGCGAAAGAGAAGCCGAGCCTTTGGTATCAGTTGCTCCCAAATGAGACATAATATTTTCCATTTCTGCTTCGGTTTCACATTCCTTGCCAGCTCTGCGATTTTCCTCCTCTTGGGTCAGCGAAAAGCAAATGCATTTAAATCAAAGGGAAATTAAGCAATTAAAAACTCTCGACTCGCTTGCTGCAGCCGTTAATGGGCCAGATGAATGCTGATGAAACGAAAACTGCACACAAATAAAAACAATTTATTGACATATGTATAAGGAAATTGACTTAATGAAATTGATCATGATCATGACGTGGCATGCCTTACGCCAGTCATGTGAGTTTCTTTAAATTGCGAATGGAACTTTTGAAATGATTTTTCGTAAATAACGGCCAAAGGAAGTCTGCGGTTGGAAGTTGCCGAAACTTCACATACTTGCAAAACAAATGGCAGGCAATGAAAAGAATTCAGAATTCAGTTCAGTTAAGTTCAGTTCAGGCATATTCAATTTAACGAATTTGCGAAACTCTCTGGCAGGAACTTGCCAACTTGTCCAATAACTTTCTATTCACTGACAAAATGCAACGGCTTCAAAAGCTAAATTAAACTAAAGTCAATTAAATTGTCAGTCAGTTAAGCACTAAAAGCAGAAATACTCAACATAGGTAATTAATTGAATTGAATGATTGACCATGAGGCATTCAATGCTCCCATTAAGATCCATCATGGATTCGTAAATGTTCTATATATAATGATCCAGTCTAATTCAAACTGGTTCAAAAATATAAGCAGCTTGAGATCTTCCTCACAAGTACTTTCTCCCAAATTAATTCTCAATTTTTTACTTTTCTTTTCTTTTCATCGATTCACATACAAAACTCGTTTAACGCGAGAGAGAGGGCGAGCATAAGGAGAGCCAAACTTGACTTTTCATAACTCCAGCTCCAACTGTTGCTATTTACAGTGTAATTTGAGTTATTCATAGCACATTTAAGGACAATAACATGATGATGATCAATCAAGCCATCAAGTAACCAATCAATAATCAAGTAATTTATATCTTTAGTCTCTCAGCTTCCATATTTAGTCTCTCTCTCAATTACTTTAATAAAATAACTCCAATAGGTCAACTATGATAAGGCTGCACTCTGACTATAGCTCCATCAATTAGTCTGCCAATCTGTCAATCAATCAGTCAGCATTTTACTATACTTTCCAATGTTAAGTCACTGCCTGGCAACTGCATTGTTCGCAGCCAGTCATTCAATCAGTCAGTCAGTCTGTCCGTCAGTCCCTTCTGTAATCGTTGCAACATCATAATCCAACCCATTCTGGCTTTTGTTAAGTTTCGAGGACAAACACTTGACATTTACCTGACTCTGACGAGTTGCATGTTATTTTTGTCTCTTGAGGGTTGTCCGGATAAGTTGGGAGCTGAGCATGTAATACATGTAGCTCTCTCTCTCTCTCTCTCTCTCTCTATCTATCTCTCTCTCTCTATCTGTCTTTCTCTCTCTCTCTCTCTCTCTCTCTCTCTCTCTCTCTCTCTCTGGTTGTGCTTCAACTGCAGCTGCTGCAGATGCTTAGGAGTTACTGTTTATGCTCTTGAGCTTTTTGAGTTTATAGATATGTGGGCACGCTGCTTGACCCACAAAGGGCAGATTACGTGATTTGTGTGCCGGAAGCGGTGCACGCTGACGTCATCAACAACAGCCAGCAGCAACTGTGATGAGCAGAACGTTGAAAATTTCAAAGGGCATAAAAATTTAAATCACGTCAGTTAGAGAGACGCAGCACAAAAGACACACGGCAATGGGGCTTTGTGTGCCGGGCTCAGGCTCCGGCTCGGGCTGGGAATTGCAAGAGGGGAGGGGAGGGAAGGGGGTGCGCTTGGATTGTGGGCTCGTCGTGTCCGCATCCGGACATAATAGGGCGACATGTAAATAGTTGGCCTCGTCCTGTGGTCGCTCCTCGTGCCGTTCGTCCTCATTGTGAGCCGAGTGTGCATGTGTGTGTGTGTGTCTGTGTGTACACTGTCTGTGTGCATGTTTGTTAAGCTGCTTTTGAGGCTGGCACTCAAGCACTCAGACAGGCTCTTACCTGTGTGTGTGTGTGTGTGTGTGTGTGTGTGTGTGTGTGTGTGTGTGTGTGTGTGTGTGTGTGTGTGTGTGTGTGTGTGTGTGTGTGTGTGTGGTGTGTGTGTGTGCCGATTGTCATGTTGCTCAGGCGCGGCAAAATTCTTGTTACGCTTTTGAGCCGCTGCCGCCAGCGGTTGACATGTCACGTTGTAGCCAACTTACACACACACATACACACATACACACAACCTACGGCAGGACCTGCACGAGCTAACACTCAACTACAAATGCGAGTTGCGCCAGCCAAGCTGCACATTAAAACGCAATTAATGTTGCAGGCGTTAATTGTGCCGTTTGTGTGGTTTATTTTCTCCTTTACTCGTGTTATATAATTGAATTTTTATTTTGTTATTTTCGGTACGTAACTTGGCAAAAATTAATTGCTTTTGGCCTGCCAAAGTTGCCAAAGTCATTTTGAAAGAGAGCAGCCGCGGCTTAGGCCATCTTTGTGTTCCGCGAAACACATGCGGCTGTAAAACGCCCCAAGTGATATTAGCCAACTTTAAAGTTGGCCATTCCTTACCTGTGACTGTCGTTGGTAAACTGCCATCATATTTTCGGTCAATATTTGAACTTGTTGGAGGCATTCCCCTCAGTTATTCGAGCGAAATTGTGGTAATGAATCATGTCCGTGAATATTGTGCCGCTGGATGCACTGTGAAGCGTAAAGACAGAGAGAGAGAGAGAGAGAGAGAGAGAGAGAGAGTGACAGTGAGAGAGAGACAGGGACAGGCTGGCAACTTTAGCTACAGCCGGATGCATGGGCGTGCCTGCTTGAATGGGGTCACACACACCCCACACATAGAGGCACACACACACACACACACACACACAGACACAGAGACAGACCTACGCCCACACACTCCGTCTTCCGGCTGTGTCCTTATTGTAACTCATCTGACCCCAAGCAACCCCCCCCGCACTGCGCTGCCCGCCGCAAGTGCTCGTCGTTGCAGTTAAATCCGTTTGCCTTGCAACTTTATCTTTCAGCGCAGATTTTCAATAGCAGCAGCTGCCGCTGTCGCTGTCGTTGCATGCAGCAAACTTTTGTTTATTCCACTTGCCAGTGCTTTGCACTTGCTGCTGCTACCACTTTTTCTCCGTTATTTCTTGTTTTCCCGTTTTTTTTTTTTTTTTTTTTTTTTTTTTTTTTTTTTAAATCTTTATTTACTCTTCTTGCAGCTGTCGTGAGTTTTGGCTTAAGCGCCATTCGACGGCGACGTGCCGTTGAAATAATTAAGTTGGCAACGCAGACACAGAATCGAAGCGTGTGAGAGAGAGAGAGAGAGAGAGATAGAGAGGGGCGGGCGAATGTGGCAGACAGGCAGACAAACAGTCGAACAGACAGAGCAGGCTTATAGTTTAGTGGCATAGATTTTCAATTAGGCAGCGTCAGGATTTGGAGTGAGAAAGCATCGCAGTTCATTTTAAAGTCTCATTGCACGACTCGCGAGCCAGCGTCAAGTTGCGTTAATATTAAACGACTGCATTCAAGCCGAAAGGTAAGCTGCATTCAGTGCCCATTTGCATATTAAGGCCATCAATCTACACTCACGCTCTGACAGCTGCGTGTGTGTGTGTGCAGTGATATCTCTCAGCTGTCATTATCCCTGATGCGCAATCATCATCGTTCTTATTAGTTTGTTAACGCTGATTGCATTCATCAGGCAGCTGCTGCTGTTGTTTTTAGTTGCAAGTGGAAATACACTTTGGCTTGACTTTCCACAATTACAATTCAGAATGCGCACTAATGCTCTGTATGTATGGCTGCTTAAATGCCATCTTACGCTGTGTGTGTGTGTGTAGGTAAACAAGCCTACATAAATTGAGTGCAGCGTGAAAACCGTTTAGGCGGCAGCTAATGAACGCCTGGCTAGCTGTGTGGGCCAAGTCTAATAGCTGCCTGCCCCTCCACCCCAACCCCCACTCCACCCTTCTAGCTATACATCTCTCAGTGCTCATGCTGTGAGCAGTCGAGCAGCTGCAGTGCATGTCGAACAGTTGAACATATTCAAGCCACATCAAGCGAAGAGCCTGCAACGCATTTACATGCGCCATGTGCCTGTGCCTGTGCGAATATTACGTATACGCAACGATAGCGCTCACAGGCAGAACATGTAGCTGCCTCGGTTTTGGCTAGAATTGTTTTAGTCTGGGCTGGTTTGGGCTGGGTTGGCTTGGGCTTTGAATGCCTGTGCCACAGTTTTTGCCATTGTGGCTTTTGGGCAGAGCAACAAAGTGGAGCATCGCAGTATTAGGCCGTTTACTTAGTCTCTTTTGGGTTAGTGTGTACGTTTTTAGTCCAAGGCAAATGGAACACGTTTAATAAAAGTTATAAGCAGCTGCTATGCAACAAAGGCTGTGCAGCCTTAACGACTTTAATCAATCAAAATCAATCATTTGCTTTGCCTTGCATAACTGTAATCTTTGCTCAGCCCAGCTCGGGCTTAAATTGTATGTCCACAAAGCGAATGCATATGTATGTGTGTGTGCATGGGGATTTTGCTGTAAAAGAAGCTAAATAGAAAATTAATGCGCAATCAATCGATATCTGAAAATCGAAGAGCAGCAGCGGGATTATAGATAGAAACGGGAAAATAGCGGCCAAATTGTAGAGCAGACATTTTTCTGCTTGACTGAAGCTTGAAGCACTAAAGCAATTTTGTCTGCACCACCTTAAGGTTGAGGGGGCTGAGGGGCGGCGGGTGGAGCTACGCAAATTTAACGAACGCATCAGTGAATATTGCTCAGCAAACCGGCCAAGACATTAGGCAACAGCAGCAGGAGTAGCAGCAGTAGCAGCAGCAGCAGCAGCAGCAGCAGCTAAAAACTTGCCCGAATGTTGGCAAATTCTCAATTTTTAAGTCAATCAGCTAGAAAAAGCGAACGGAAGCAAAAACATTCAACATTCTAGCTGCCAAACGTTGGTCGCCACTCATTGCGTATACGTAATTTGCAAGACAAAAACTTTTGCAGAGTGATTAGGCTTAACTTTTGGCAGCCTTTTAGCCACAACTTCTGCCATCACATCCGCCTTCACAGCCGCATCAATTATGCTAAGCCACTCGTGTCTTCGACAGCCGCTGACGTCCAATGAAAGCCCACTCAACGGCCGTGGATATCTGCCAGAACGATGTTGATGTGCTCGCCCAGCTGCAACAACTGCAATCGAATCATCTCTTGCTGCGCCAGCAGCTAACTCAACTGCAACGCGACGCATTCAGGCGCCGGCTGCTGCACCAGAAGCGCCTGTACGAGACGCGTGCCGCCCTGGAGACTCAGCTCCGCAGGCTGCAGCTCAAGCACAATCGGCGATGGGGCCTGTGAGGAGCGTGGACGTGGCCAGACTGGCACATCCTGTAAATCATTTGCGTGATGCATGGAATGTGACTATCAATCAATTTTTAAATTATCACTAGTTCAAATTTCAAGTTTTAAATCAATTATATGAATATTATGCTAATATATAGATAATTCTTGCTGGCATTGACTATCATAAGTCTCTTTAGAACTTTTATTTTCTATCAGTTTATCTCCATAGAATGATAGCCTTTGTCGTCTTTTGTCTTCTTTACAACTGGGTGACATTTATAAAATTAGCTGTATTTCTAAATAGGAGCATGGATAGCTAGATTAACGAAAATGAATAAATCTATCTGATAAATACATATAAATAATTATTCATTTTGATTCACTTTTGCATCCTGGCAATAGCCACATTGTCTAGTCAAGCCCTGAAGCATCCAATAATTTTAAATTTTCAAATAATGCCAATTAACTCGGTTTGCCAACCTGGTTTTATTATCATTATCATTATCATTATTTAATCACGATTAAGAACTCTGTAGAAAGTTAAGTGTTTCTCAAAGTCCGCAAATAACTGTTTTCACTCACTCTTGGAGCAAAAGCAACCGTCTGAGTGCGACCTTCAACGAGATCAATCGCACTCAGACGAGGAGTTTAGTTCTTTCGGATATTCCGTTTTCGGTATTCCAAGAATTTTTTGTTGAACTCAATGCATCAATACGTAATTTGTGTATGTGTTGGTATTTACGCATGGGTTCTGCTCAACAGAGTATGTGAGTGTACATGTGTATGCGAAAGAAAAGACGGCATATCCATCACCTTCTGAGTTTTTTTCTGCGAGCGTTAATCGTTTCACTCCCGAAACGACGGTCAATAAATCAGTCCAAGCTAGCCACAAGTTGGCCCACACTGCTGGCCATGAGATTAGCCCCATTCTGCTGGCAAGTGCTGTCGCCCATAAACGCAACCAAACACACAGGCTAAACAAAATAGAGAGAGAGTAAGAGAGACATCACAATTATTAAACACCCTGTGCACACATTGATGGGCGGGGTACACTGCTGCTCCTCCACGCCTCCTGCTATTTATAGTCCAACAAGCCATTCTCGATCAGCTTTGCACCGAGCTCAGAGCTTGTCTCTCGCTTCGCTTCACATTGCCATTCGGCACACAGTGGCACACACCCACACCCACACAAACACACGCTTACACATGCACAAAGTGGCACAGTCGTGTCGCCTGTAAATGACACCTAGCGTGTTATCATTAAATCCTTGGCCATACAGGGATGCGAATGACAACACTTAAGTGGACCATAAACGCCAACAAATGCAAATGCTGAATGGAATTATTGCAATGCAGTCAAGGGACGGGCGCTGTTGCTGTAAATGCTGTAAATGTGTTTGCACATGCAAGGGCACACGATCGACCTGCCACGCCCCATGGCAAACCAATGTGTGTGGGAGTGCATTGCAGTGATATAAATATTTATATAAGTTAATCGGTTTATGGAGCACAAGTAATTGAATTCCGGCTGCAATGGAGACTCATCATAGCGCCCGTTTAAAGTAACGGCTGCTGCTACTCCTGCTGCTGCTCCTGCTGCTGCTGCCATTACTGTTGTTGTTGCAGTTGCACGGCTGCAGGTGACACGCGTTGTCCAAGCTCTTATGAATTTTCGCTGCTGCTGCTACATGTGGCATCAAAATTGTTGTTCAACTTTTGCCGGAAGTGTCAGCTGCACGCTGCTTGCTGCTTCCTACTGTAGATGCTGTGTCATTTCCGCTTAGCTAAACATTAATTGCAATTAAATTTGACATCACGAAACGCTTTAACCATCAACTGACACGCCCAAGTGGGCATACCCCTTGTCCACTCACTGCCCAATGCTATGCATACAACGGCCAGTTCATGCTCACTGCAATTTTTGTTGCTACATTTTCCACTTCTTGCATAATTTAAGTTGTTTGGCTTTTGGCTGCTACCAAAGCTGGCGGCCAAGTGGGTGGCTGTGTGAGTGGGGGTGGGGCGGTGTAATGGATGGTGCACTGGCTGGTGTACCCTGTGTAGACGCTCATTTTATTGTTGCTGTTGTTGTTGTTGTTTTCAATTAACTGTGCATCTAACTAAATGGCAAGTAAATTAATGTTTATAGCGCATTTATGTGTGCGTGTGCGTGTGTGTGTGTGCTAGTAGTGCATGTTGAAGGCTGTACAGCGGCGCCATTGTTGCTATCACTTAACTATTATGGCATTGTTACAGCATGCGCGTATATCGAATGGAACGTATGAATTATGAAATCAGTCAATTTATGTGATATATTACATAAGAATATTGAAGCTCATGCTGGAAATTTGAAAATGAGAGGGTGAGGGAGATGGAGAGAGTACGCAAGAGTAGGAGGGAGGAAGCGAAGAAGGAAAAGAGATAAAGGGTAAGAGTAATTGGGTGGGAAAGGGATAGAAAAAGATATAGAGTGAAAAAAGTAGAGAGAGAGAGAGAGAGAAAGAAAATCAGAGAACCAGAGGAAATTGTGGATTGAAAAGAGATAGAGGTAGTGAGAACGTAAAGAGATTATGAAATTGCAAGATAATTGGGGAAATAGAGAAAACGAGTGAAAATTGAGAGATTGAGGCAGATAGTCTGAGAAACCGAGAAATACAGCGAGATACAGTTAAATACAATAATCACAGAAAATTATATTCTTTTTACAATTCCCACATTTCTACGTACTTCGTATCCTGAGTTTTATTCATGCAACATTTTTATACCCTGAACCCATTGAAAATGGGAAATCAGGGTATAATGGTTTTGTGAAAAAGTATGTAACGGTCAGAAGGAGGCGTGGCAGACCCCATAAAGTATATATATTCTTGATCAGCGCGATGAGCTGAGTCGATATAGCCCTGTCCGTCTGTCCGTCCGTCCGTCCGTCCGTCCGTCCGTCCGTCCGTATGAGTGCGTCGATCTCAGAAGTTATAAGAGCTAGAAAGCTGAAATTTGGCATGCATACTCGTGTATACCATACGCAGTACGAGTTTGCTTTATTTTTTCGATAAATCATCCGATAACTTTTTTATCGAGAATAATCGAAAAATTGATTTTGTTTTTTTAGCCTAATTTGAACACTTTCAGACCTAGAGTCTTTAAATTTGCGTTGTATATAAAGTTAATCGATACAAAGATTTTGTAATTTACAGATTTTGGATACCACGCCCCCTTCGCCCCCAATTTGTAAAAAACGCATTTCAAGTACTAGAGACTTGTGCTTTGGAATGTACACACATATTCACCATATGATTACGCTCTAAAAGTTTCATTAAGATCGTATGTCTACAAAAGAAATTATTCAACAAATAAATTCTCATAATATTGCCCACACTGCAGCGCAGCCCAAGCGCAGTCGCTGCTTACTGCGCAGTTAGCAGAGCGCAGGCTTATGCGTGCGTGTGGATGCATGTGTATGTATGTGTGCATAAAAGAAGTGCAGAATGATTAGAATATCAGCTTAGAGGGTTTAGGGTATCTCCTAGTCGAGCAGTCTCGACTGGAGCCTTCTTACTTGTTCTCTATATATTTGTCACGTTTGACACTCTGCCCTCATAACTCAGAGCTACGTTTGTTATATACGGCTTTTAGTTCCTGAAATATAATTCATGTCTAAACGCCCACAGGCCATATCTCACCCCCACACACACATACACACACACACACACACACACTCACACACACAGACAATAGACAGCAATGCCAGACACATTACAAACACGAAAATGCATGGGAAAAATGAGAGAAATAAAGTTTTTAGCTAGCTGCTCCCATTGTTGAGATTGAAATGTGCTTAAGCCAACCGCAGACAGATGGAAATTATAAACAAAAATATGAAACTAAAAACCAGCTCGAGAAACAAGAGATGAAATTTTAGATAAGCAGACAGGCGTTTGTTAACGTTTCACAGTTCTTGTATAACAAATGTTGCCTAGATACGCAGAGGAGCATACGAATATACTATATATATGTATATAGGTATATAAGCTGTATACCCTTTAATGTAGACGGAATAAGTGCGGTTCTTAACTGTTGCTGGTGTTAAAATTCCTGATTTCGATTATGACATTCAATTAAAAATAGCGTATACCCTGTAATACAGGTCAAATAATAGGAATATGAGATATATCTCCTATTGAATCCCTGAGCATTCGTTATAGACATAAGTATAATACATATCATCAATATCAATAATACATACCTTACTCAAGCAACTCTTCTAAAATTTCCATCTTCCCCTAGTAGAAACGTAAAATAAATATAAACCATAAACCAAAGTGTTTGTTAAGCACCTGCTTTAAGGTAAAAAGTTTGCGAATTGTTTTGTGTTGTTCTCGCTTGAGTAAATTCAATAGACTGCGATTCGATTAAAGCGTCCCGGCTCCTGCTTTCTAATTGCATAACACATACTTTCAGGCTGCTTGTTGCTTACACTTCGCTGGCAACTTTGTCACTTGCTCTGCCCGAGTGGCAGGCAAGGCTTGTGGCAAAGGAACGTGGCCGGGGCCAGCTATATTGGTGGCAAAGGCAAAAGTTCATTTTAACAAGTGAACAACTTTCAATGGGCAATTAAAAGGGCATACAAAACAAGGGGACGACTGCAGCAGAGTTCAAGTCTTTGCCAGCTGGAAGCTGAACAACGGCTGTCGACCAGGCGCAGCCTGTGAAAGGGGGCGTGGCCGATGGAAGTTGTGTTGGGAATGCAGCGTTGCCGAAAAACTCACAGGAAATGTTAACAGAATGCACTGCGCCGAGTTTTGCAAAGTTTTTGGACGAAAGGCAATTAAAGTTTTGACAACAACGGCAAAAGCAACGGCAGCTACAACGGCAACAACAGTTACACCAACAGCAGCAACAGCCAAAGAAGCGCTGCGATATATGCTCAGATTGGTTAGGGTCATAAAAGTAACAGAAATTGCCGTTGTACCAGCTGAACACTTCCGGCATTTTAATTAATAGAGATAGCATCAATTGCAAGAGATCAAATCTACCAAAATATATTCGAAATAGTGTAGAAAAAAAGAGTCAAGTGAATGTGAGTGTGCAACAACTACATTCCAGAGAGCTAATGTAAAATATGATTCATTTCTCATGAAATGAGCAGGTTTATATATTTAGAAATATTGCCGAATATACAATAGAAACAAGAGGCTTAGA